GTTCCAGTTTAAGGGCACTGTTGAAAACAATGGAGGTGTTGGTGGTAAGCAATTAAGAGGAGGCTGGTAGCTCAATGAGAGCAGCAAGCTAAATCACAGACAACTCAATAGAAATTTAACAGAGAGAACAGGAAAAGAGACAGCTAGGAAGAGTCTTCTGGGGGATTGAAAAAGCCTCAAAGATGAGCCTCAAAGACTACCTCTGCAAAAGAGCTTGAATTTAATTGGATCAGACCTTGGAGCAATTTATGCCCCCAGGACACTGTTGAAAACAATAGAGCAATCAGCCAGCACTTAGTGGAAGCTATTGGCTACATGTGATACCAATAGAACCAGAGAGCTTAACACAGAGATCAAGGAAAAGGACTGTCAAAGAGAACATTGCTAAAACCACTATCATCTCAGAGTGTCTGGGCACATATCCAACACTGTGTCCTTGGAAAAAGAACATCACTGGCTGCACACTGTGGGGGAAAAGAACTTAATTGAAAGAGTCAAATCACGAAACAATTAAACAAGCAAACAACAACAAGCCCTAGACTGGGTACAGAATGGATGTCCAAAGTTGTTATAATATATGTGGTAGCCGAAATAAAGGCCCCCAAAGATATCCAGGTCGTAAAGCCTGGAATCTGAAAATGTGACTTTCTGTGGTAAAAGGGACTGAGCATATGTGATTAATTTAAGGATCTTGATATAAATTATCCTAGATTATCTGGTTGGCCCTAACATAATCACAAATGTCCTTATAAGACAGAAACAAAAGAATATTTGACTCCAGAAGAGGAAGGAGACATGATGAAAGTAAGAGGCTGGAAGGATTCAAGAAGGAATCATGAGCCAATGAATCCAGTGGACTTCAGAAGCTAGAAAAGGCAAGGAAATGGATTCTCCCCTAGAGCTTCTGGAAGGAATCAACCCTGCCATGACCTTGACTATAGCTGGTGAAAGTGATTTCAGACTTCTTGCAGAATCATAAGAGAACAAATTCGTTTTGTTTTAGATCAAGGTGTCAGCCGGATTTATTCCTTCTGAGGGCTGTGAGAGAAAATCTGTTCCATTCCTCTTGCCCAGCTTCTGATAATTTGGTGGCAATGTTTTGTGTTCCTTGGCTTGTAGAAGCATCACACTAATCTATGTCTTCATCTTTATGCGGTGTTCTCCATGTGTATCTGTCTCTTTGTCCAAATTTTCTCTTTTTTTCAATTGAGTTAATGATAGGTTACAATCTTGTGAAATTTCAGTTATACATTATTGCTTGTCAGTCGTATTGTAGGTGCACCACTTCACCCTTTGTGCCCACCCCTCACCCCACCTTTCCCCTGGTAGCCACTAATCTGTTCTCTTTGTCCACATTTTTAAATTCCTCATATGAGTGGAGTCATACAGAGATTATCCTTCTCTATCTGGCTTATTTCACTTAACATAATTCCCTCAAGGTCCATCCACGTTATTGCAAATGGAATGATTTTGTTCTGTTTTACAGCTGAGTAGTATTCCATTGTATATATATATACCACATCTGCTTTATCCATTCATCTGTTGATGGCCACTTAGGTTGCTTCCATGTCTTGGCTATTGTAAATAATGCTGCAATGAACATTGGGGTGCATAGGACTTTTGGAATTGCTGACTTCAAGCTCTTTGGATAGATAGCCAGTAGTGGAATAGCTGGGTCGTATGGTAGTTCTATTTTTAATTTTTTGAGGAATCTCCATACTGTTTTCCATAGTGGCTGCACCAGTTTGCATTCCCACCAGAAGTGTATGAGGATTCCTTTTTCTCCACAACCTCTCCAACATTTGTTACTATTAGTTTTAGATATTTTTGTCATTCTAATGGGTGTAAGGTGATATCTTAGTGTAGTTTTGATTTGCATTTCTCTGATGATCAGCGATGATAAGCATCTTTTCATGTGCCTATTGGCCATCTGTATATCTTCTTTGGAGAAATGTCTGTTCATGTCTCCAGCCCATTTCCAAATTTTTTTTTATAGGGACATCAGTCATATTGGATTAGGGCCCATCCTAATGACTGTCAATGCAAATAACCAATAACCACTGTATAGGTAAGAGAAATAAGGTGAGTTTTACTTGAGCCAGAGTGAGGATTATAACCCAGAAAGGCCTTAGAAAGCATTCCAGAGAAGGACGGTATCAGCACAGTCTTATATCTATTTAGAACAAAGAACATACAATAAATACACCCAGGATAAGTTTTCATCAAAGTTTCTAAAAGATATTTAGTTGCAAATTATCAGGTCAATATGACCCTGATGTCAGAAAAGGGACCAAGCTGGGCCTTATCAATAGGGCATTCCAATAGGTTGTAAGAGGGTAAGTATGCATTCTTATGTTAAGAAAGTGCATTCTTTAGTTTAATGGTTAAGCAGATGTACAATGTATGCTTGATAGGCTATAAGTCAGGCTTTTTAGTTCAAGTCAAATCAGTTTTGAACCTGAATAGTTACCCCATACCTCAATATGTGAAAATTTCTTGTCCTGACCTTGCCTTAAGTAATTACATTTGCAATGACCCTATTTCCAAATAAGGTCACATTCTGAGGTACTATAACCAAAAGTTCAGTCTCTGAACCCATTGCCAGAAGGTTGCCAAAGGTACAAGATAATAATTATAACAATCTACTGGTGGCTTGTAACATATATAGAAGGAATAAGAATAAAAATTATAGCATGAAAAATGGGGAAGAGGAACTAAAACTACAAAGTAGTAACATTCCTATATCTCACATCAATTGTTAGCATAATTTTAAAGTAGATACTAATAATTTAAGACACATATCATAAGCTCTAAAGTAACCACTAAGAAAATAATTTAAAAAGTATAGTGAAAAATAATTAAAGGAATTAAAATATTGCACTAGAAAATATTGACTTAATGCTAAAGAAAGTTTTAAAGAAAGAACAGAGAAACAAAAAAGACATGGGACATATAGAAAACAAAGTTAAGTTGACAGATGTAAATTCAACTATATCAATAATAACATTAAATGTGAATGGATTAAACAGTCCAATCAAAAGCAGAGACTATCAAACTGGTAAAATATATGTGTGTGTGTGTATATATATATATATATATATATATATATATATATATATATATATGTACTATATTCTGTCTATAGGAGACATACTTTCAATTCCAAGGTAAAAATAGAGTAAATGTAAAGGGATGGAAAACATATATTATGCAAACAGCAAATGTAAGAGAGCTGGAGTTGCTATGCAATACTATTGTTAAAGAAGATAAAATTTGAACCAAAAAATGTTGCTAGAGATAAAGGATATTTTATAAAAGTAAAAGATTCAATCCATCAGGAAGATATAACAGCTATAAACATATGTGTATCTAACAACAAACACCAAAATACATGAAGCAAAAATGGACAGAATCAAAAGGAGAAATAGATAATTTAACAATAATAGCTGGAGACTTCAATATCTCACTTTCAATAATAGAACAACTATGCAGAATATCAACAAGGAAATAGAAAACTTGAATAACAGTATAAACCAGGTAGCTCTAACAGACATCTACCCAACAACAAAAGAATACACATTTTTCTCAAGCACATAGGGAACATTCTCCAGGATAGACCATATCCTAGAAGATAAAATAAGCCTCAAGAACATGAATGGGACTTAGTTGAATGGAATACACATTTTAAAGCTTTTTTCGCAATATATGAGCATTCAGAAATTTTTTTTTGTTTGCTTTACTGCACTAGTAGGATGGGATGCAAGTGTTTGTAATTGCTTTGGGACACATTGTGGTGAGGCAGACCTGAACATTCTTAAGACACCCAACTAACTGTGGGGACCTGGAGTTGGCCACCCCAAGATATGTCTCTTTGGCATCAGGATTATTTGAGGCTCATTGCTTTTGATAAACTGGGACAGGGAAGGAGGCTCTGAGGAATGGAACTTGCCCTTTGTTAGGACACGTTCACATTTGTAAGGTAAATCTCTATCTGTAAAAGGTGCCTCCCTCTCTGTACCAGGAAGAAGAAAGGAGATGACCTTCTTTCTAGAAACTCTTAATCAATACCAAAGGCAAGGACTTAAAATCTGCATTTTATTGTGCTAGTCTGGTAACCTCCTGTAACTGACTTCCCTCCCCCTCCCAACGTTGGCATCTCCTTAAAGACTAAGCATCTTTCTTTAGGCTGGGAACCGATTGCGGCGCTCATCTGTGACCCCCACCCCCCAGCCCGAGGCAACACACCTGCCACCCAGCGGCGCTCACTGAGACAGCAGACCTATGTGCCGTTTCCATCAAGCGCTGTGCTGACAGGGCAGCCTCGTGACTATTGTAAAAGGGACTTTTCAATCATATGTGAAACACCCCGTTTGGGGGCTATATAACCACTGTGTGCACCCCACTTCTTCGGTGCCCTTTCTTCCTTCGGGAAGAAAAGCCCCGGGCCATGGTTCCTCATTAAAGCTTTGTTTAATTTTCTCTTGCTATTCTGTCTCATGTGAATTTAATTCGTTCTCCAGCCAGACGAACCCCCATTTGGGGACAGGAAATGTCCTCCTCCCCTACATAACCTAGATCATTGCCTAATAACATCTTTTTTTTTTTTTCTGCTTTATCTTCCCAAATCCCCCCTGGTACATAGTTGTATATCTTAGTTGCAGGTCCTTCTAGTTGAGACATATGGGACGCCGCCTCAACATGGCCTGACGAGCGGTGCCATGTCCGCGCCCAGGATCCGAACCCTGGGCCTCCACAGCAGAGCACGCAAATTTAACCACTCGGCCATGGGGCCGACCCCCTCTAATAACATCTTTATTGGAGTAATTTTTTTCTTTTTATTCTTTTCACTTTTTAACCTTTTGGAGTCCAGCATACTGTTGCTTAAATATTTATTTTCGTTCTATCCTCTTATCAGCTACTCTGCTAGTTCCAAGTTAGAGGTTTATAGTACAGAAAGAGATGTAGATTGGGAAAGGAAGATAAAGACCAAAGTCCCAAACCTGTAGGGCCAAAAAGTGTCTGTGGTTAAAACCCGACCAATGTGGGTTAGGAATATTAAGCTGTGCAAATACTGTGTGTTGGTCTTGTGATGTGATTACGGTTGGAGAAGAAGCTGAGCCCAGCTGAGGGTTTTTGTACAGGTTGCAGGTGCCTGTGAAACACTGTGGCTTCACAGCACAGAAATAAATGGCTGAGTTTGTGGTCTGGGAAGAGGAAATATACAATGAGCTGCGTCGTTCTTTCATGACTGTCATAGCGTTTAATCTTCCACTCTGCTTTTCCCCTGAAGGAATGTAAAACAGGTCGATGAGCCGGCCCCCAGGATGTTGGCGAAACCACTGCACATTCTTCACAGAGATGGAAAAATTGCACCGCAGCGTTGAACTGGCTCCCTCCTGGAGACTCAGGGCTGGGGGGCTCTGCTCCACCTGCGCCCCTCTCACACCTGATGAGAAACAGAGAAGCAGTCATAGATGATGGTCACTCTAACACCTACAAAACTTGGAAAGTGCTCCCATAGATTATGAGAAGGACGGAAAGTCTTCAAGACTTGTGAACTCCTTTGCTCCCTCCCTCAACATCACTGTGGCTACTGAATCCTTTCAGATTCCCATCTGGGTCAGCCCCAACTCACAGCAAACCTGGGTGCACAAAAGCCCCAGCACAGTGCCCAACAGCCTCTTCATGATGCTCTGCCTTGTTGCTCAGGACATTTTCCCATGATATAAATAACTAAACCCTAGGGTGATGAGTGTCATGACTTGGATCTGGAACTGTTCCTCCTTCTGCGACCAATCAGCCTCACCCACAAACCCGGCTCAGGCCCAGACACCCTGTGACGGAAGCCCCACCCTCCAACCTCACCCCTATTGACAACGGACTCGAGGGTGGTGGAGTGAGAGGGCAAAGAGAAAGGTCATTATTCTAGTACTCAAGGGACATTTTCTGATAATCCTGGATGTAGTAGAGAGTATGAGAAGGAAAGGGAGAGGCCTCCTCCAGAGGGACAAGTGCCTCATCTGTGCTAATTACAGCCTGAGGAGGTCCGTAGAAAGAACATCCACATTCTTAAATCCAAAAACAGGCACCTGTTCTGACAAAAAGATCTTTACTAACCTATGAGGTGATTATCTGAGACATTCTAGTCATACAAAGTAATAAGAACATAAATGTTATGTATTATATATACACTTAACAAATTTCTATTATTGGAGTATATGACATATTTGGATTGGGTCTCTCCTGGAATAGCCAAAACTTGTGGTAAATATTGTTATAAGAAATGAACCTGATAAGACTGTAAATTGTGAAAAAAATTGTATCAATTTGGATATTATTTTTATATATTATCCTTGCTGCTGCATAACATGTTTTGTTTTTCAAATTATTGTCTGTAAAAACTTCCTGTGTTTCATACTTGTAGTTCAATTCATCTTTTTCTGTTCTAAATCCTCTGTCTTCCTCTTTTCCTCCCACTTTCTCCAATCATTACATTTCTACTTCCAAATTCTCTCTTTTTTTCCCTTAATTTCTCTCTCTTTCATTTTTTTGGTTTTCTAGTTTCAAAAAAAGGACAAAAAGAATATTAAAGAAAGAGTGACATTCAATTGTTTAGAAATAATTTCAAACCTGTGAAATGGAAGTTCATATTTTCCCCTGATATGTAAAAATCTTAGGCAATAAAAATGAAAAAATCAGAAAAATCTGATTTCCATACTTTGGAATTCTCCATGTTCCCTTTTGCTTTATATGACTCTGATCCAGGAGTCTTTTCTGATAGATACGGATAAAGATAAAGTCATAGACAAATATAATGATAACAATATAAACATAGATGTATGCACTGCAGCTATAAGCTTCTAGCATTTGATCAGGGAATAAAGTAGAGGAGTTAATTGAAAGGAATATTCAGCAAAAAGCATACTTTTTTTTTGTGGTGAGGAAGATTTGCCCTGAGCTAACATCTGTTGCCAATCTTCCTCTATTTGTTTGAGTAAGATTATCACTGAGCTAACATCTGTTGCCAATCTTCCTCTATTTGTTTGAGTAAGATTATCACTGAGCTAACATCTGTGCCAATCTTCCTCTATTTTGTATATGCGATGCCATCATAGCATGGCTTGATGAGCGGTGTGTAGGTCTATGCCAGGGATTGAACCTGCGAACCGTGGGCTGCCTAAGTGGAGCATGTGAACTTAACCAGTACACCACCAGGCTGGTCCTAAGAAGCATATTTTTTGTGTGCTGATAATGATTAGTTTTTCCTTACACACAATTATTCTCCCCTCTTTACTAGCCCCCATTTCACATTCAGAGGATTTTTCAAATCTTTCACAACTGTTCACAACTAGGTCCCTCTGTGTAGTTCCTGGGTTTAGGAAAAGTCTATAGTGCTTCCTAATGGGCTCAAATCTTAAGAAAGGAACACTTCTCACTCAGCAGATATGCATAGCTCAGCCCAGCTGGCTTTTCTAGGGCTGTACCTGTGGATTGACTTGGAGCCACAGAAGTGTCCACAAGGATGGAGAACACCATAAATAGGACCATGAGTCCCCACAGTACCTTTCTATGAAAATAAATTTTTTCATATAATGTAATTTTATGTAATAATATGAAAACAATGTATTTAATTCTTACTCTTAAACTTATAAAAAATGAGCCCTCCAACGTGATCCAGTTTAGCCCATGTATTTAAGAGTGTTCCAGACTTGAGACAATACAAAAATGAATTAGACACTGTATCTTCCTTCACAGAGCTTGTGATACAATGGGGGAGACAAATATCTCTGTAAATGTAATAAAGTCCTAAAGGACGCCACAATAGAAGCATGCCATAAATACTACATGAACCCCAAGGCAGTAACCATTATTTCAAGCCCATATTACAGGAGACAATGGAAGATGTGATACTGCATGCCTTCTGTGGAGGTGACAAGAGACAACAGTAACAAAAGCAAAAATAAGTGATCTTTGAAAGGTGACCCTTTATTTTAAATACAAGGAACAAAGAAGATGAACAAGTATGTGGATCATGGATATTAAGGATATCAAAGGATATTAATATCAAAGGATATTAAGGGCCATGGATCACACACACACAAGTAAATGTATTAAAGAACACAGTAGGCCTGCCATGTGGCCAAGTGGTTAAGTTCACACGCTCCACTTTGGTGGCCCAGGGCTTCACCTGTTCGGATTCTGGGTGCGGACATGGAACCACTCATCAGGCCAAGCTGTAGCAGCATCCCACATAGCACAACCAGAAGGACCTACAACTAGAATATGCAACTAAGTACTGGGGGGCTTTGAGAAGAAGAAGAAGAAAAGAAAAAAAAATAAGATTGACAACAGTTGTTAGCTCAGGTATCAATCTTTAAAAAAAAAAATAGCACAGTGTCTCTCTGTCACTTGGGTTCCTGGCATAATCTGTGACCTTTAGCAGCTACTAACACCATTTAGGCTCAAGGAAAATGCTTATTCACATATCTTAACTGTTGCCTTTATGAAACCAGTAAACAGTTAGGTGTTGATGATTAGGTAGCTAGTAACTAAAGGTTTTTTCTTTTTCCAATTACTGATCACAGTTTTTAGTTGTTCCACCTTCAAACTGTTAACTGTGCTGCTTAAGCAATATGCTAACTGACTCGCACTCAGGTCCTATAGATAACATCTCCCTGGAGCCTGGCTCACTATGGTAATGGGGGCTTGAGCTGTTTTTCAGGAAATAGGACCCCACTTGTCCAGTTCAAATCAATTGAGACCACCAACCCATTAACTAGGCCCACACAGATGCCTGACAAGTGACCTTTTGATGTCAAGAGGCTAAAAACTCTACCCTCAGATTATCCTCATACCACCATTTTGTGAACGTGTCCTATGAAGAGGCGTGAAGTCTGACTATGCTTGCACAGATCATCAATTACCTTGCCTCTCCTCACCTCCAATCATCTACCTCCACACTTCAGACCACATTTACCCCATAAATATCCCAACTCCCCATTTTCAGGGAGGCAGGTTTGAATCTCATTCTCCTGTTTCCTCACTTGGCTGCCTTGTGATTAAAATGCTCACTCTGCTGCAATCTCTCCATCTTGGTGTTTGGCTTTCCAAACAACAGACAAAAATGAACCTGTTCAGTAATACTTGAAACTGCAGTTGAATATCAGAACAATCTGTGGACCGTGCTGCTGCTGACACAGAGGGCTGACTTTGATTTGGAAGTTGAGGGGAGTTTAGAGAAGACAAAAGAAAAATTAACTAGCTCAATCTTTCATCTCAGATACATGGATGCAGTAGATTCTTACATAATGAAATATTGCTTCCTGGGAGTGCTGAAGACCCATTTTCTTTCTTCTCTTATGCACCCATCTGTGGTTCTGAAGGGCGCTCATGAATCAGCACAGTATTCACAACAGTTGCCCGTGATGGCTGGAACACTTTGCGATAGGAAACAAAATTACTTTTAAATTGTATATATTTATTCTAGACCAATCCTGCATACAGAGTGATAGTGATTATTTACTTTAGCAATGAGATTGGCATTGAAACTGTGAATAATTTGGTGAATAGTTTTATTTGTATAAAAATATCTATCAAGTTTTAAAGTAAATTTTAAGTAAAATTTCAGTTTTAAATACATCTTATTAAAACTGTTCATTATTAATTATTATTTGTATTTTGCTTCATAGCTTTAGTAGATTATTTTAAGAGAAAAATACCTGTTTTTGAAAACATATGAAAATAATTTTAGTTTGTGCTCTTGTCTCAGACTCTATTAATAATAATAATCAACTGAAAACAGATTTGGAGGTAAAAGGGGTACAGACTGAGACCTCTGTACTTTCACTGAATTAGAAAGTGAAATGATCTGTAGACACTGCAGATCAGATGAACTGTTCAAGTATGTTGCAAATGTTTACTAATGGCACTGTGATAGATAGTGTAGAAAAATAAATAATGATGATTAAGGAATCTCTAACTATTATTGAGCACTCAGCAGGTATTAGAGAAATCTATTTACACGGGAGAAAAAAAGGAGAGAGGTAGCCTAGGTGGGTCTGATAAAGAAAGAGTGGGTCACTCATAGAACAACCAACTCCAATATTCCACATGGAACTTTGGCATAGTGTCGTGTTTAATTTAGAATGCCTGGTACTGGGAGTGGGGAGAAGGGGAGTGTCACTGGATAAAGAAGATCTTCTTTCCTTCATTCCATATTGTCTTTGGAAAGATCACCTTGTGTACATCCTTAAATGCCAGCTTTAAGTCCACCAATCTCAAATATTTCAGTCAAAGAGCTGAAGTCCTTTGAGGAAAGAAGCCTCTCAGGATACTAGTAAAATAATCTGGAAATATTGCAGTTTGAAATAACCAGTTGTCCTTCGTTTTCTGATTGCTTGAGAGATGAGATTAATACTGTAAAGCAGTTCTCTGATTTGCCTGATACCAACTCACATGGCCAACCTCAAGCCATCTTAGCCCATCACTATTTCAAAAGACCAGCGGGCAAGTAACGTCCTTCAGCTTGTTGAAAATCCTATAGCCTCATTCCCTTTAGAATCCTGACTCTAGAGGATAAAAATGTTGCACTTCAGAAAACAAGACTTTCCTTTGCAAAACAGAAAAGAAAACAGTCTAAGATTTCCATAGGAACTAAATACTTCTCAGGATTCTGTATTCTCTGTAGTGTTAGCTTCCACAGAATATGCCAACTTCCTGAATGTAATTTAGGCTGAGACCCTGAGTCTTTTGAGCTACAGTGTCTCAGGAAGCTTGTGTTCAGCT